TTTTTTTTTTTTTTTTTGTTTTGGATGAAAAAAGAATCACTGAATGTGTGATTCGAAAACGTGTCGTGCAACCATCGTGATATTCGTGTGAACTTGACCAAGTCGAGAGACACGAAACGACGCGAAAACGAGACGAAAGCTTAGTTTCGTCGAGGGAAGGTCTGGATAGAGAATAGAGAGTATTTTAAAATACAACAGACGGCTATAGGTAACGGTCTATTTATGCAACTCGATGTCAAAGTGAAAACGGACAAGCAACGACACCGTTGTTCGCTAAGTTCAATCTCCTCTGGATGATTTTCTAGCCTCGTTCTCTTCTAAAGTGACCAATATTTCACAGCTGGTTTAGTTAAAAAATTTTTAATTTTAAAAAAGCAGAAAAGACACAGAATAAAAAAAGAAATTCGATGATATTATTCACCGGCGAATGGAAAGAATTCTCAACCGCGGCTTTCTCCCTAATGTATTTAACGAGTCTTCCTTCTTCTATTTTTCCGATCCACAAACGGAATCGCCGATCCGGAATCACGAGAGAATATATTTGCTCGAACGAGAAGGCAGAAAGGTAGCGAAGCAATCAAAGGCATGATCGATGGCTCATTCGTCTGAATCTTACGGCTGATTGGTCAATTAGACAGGAAACACGTAGGAGAAGTGGAGACTGTTGGTTATGTGTAAGAGCCGGGGAAGGCCGCAAGGGCGGTGAGGCCTCGGAAAAGGATATTTTAATTATCGTCGTTGGGTTATGCTTCAGCCTTCGGCTTCGAGCCGAAGCTATTATTGATTCTGCCTTGTATTAATTGCACCCACGTTCGATCGGACGTGGAGTCAACCCTCCATGGGGATCTGATTAGGTTCCTGGGGCTGGTTCTTCCTTACCGAACGAGTGAAATTGAAAGGCACTGGTCGTCGGGAAATTTGAGCTTTAATTCCCGCGCGTTCGCGTGATTCTTTCACTCTCAGATTTTGAATGTTTTTCTTTACAATTTTTTTTTCTTTTTTAAGTAGATAAGAATTCGGTTATTAATTCTAGAGCAGAAGGCGAAACATAAACTTTGTTAACTTTGTTGGCAGCGTCATCGCGTCCATCTTCAAGTCCCGCACAAAGGCCAATGGCCACTGTATTGTACCTCTTATTGGTTCACACATTTGCTATTATTCATCTTTCAAGAAAACTCGGAGAGACACGCGGGCATTTTATTTTCGATTTCTGTTTCTTCCAAAAAAAAAAAAAAAAAAACAAAGTGACAAGAGTGTCGGAAGGCAAAATATCTGCAGAATCTACGCATTGCGTTCAAGCTGTAACATACAAAATATCTGCTTGAGATCGTGTAATGAATGACGACTGTCCGAGTCGTCGAGTTCCCAAATTTTCATCCACGAAGAACAAGATAAACCTGATTTTAGATCTTACAAAATTCACAGCATTTTACTTGAAGATCTCGAAGATCTCGAACACGAAGCAAAACAAATACGAATATTACAGGTACGGCAGAGCGTTCACAGCGTAGATTCAAGCAGCGAAACTAGCCTTCTACATCTACATCTCGTGTCTCTATAATTCTAACTCTATTAATTCTCTACATTTTTTTACATACCAATAAGATCAAACCGAGTAAGAACGCACCACAAGTTGTGCCTCACCCGTAGAGTATGTTTCAGGCAAGGAGCAGGGAATGCCAGCGTTCACGCGTGGTCCACAGGAAAGTGGTCCACCGGAAATAAGTGACGAGAGGTTGGCACATATCCTCTCGGAGTCGGGCCACCTACAGATGAGGGGTGAGCACGAGGTGTCGAACGACACCGCGGACAGCAAAAGTCCGAATAGAATCGGTTGTCCGAGCCCGTTTAACAAAGACAGGCTCGACAGTCAAAATAGGAGACTGAAGAAATACGAGAACGACGACATTCCGCAAGAGAAGGTAGTCAGGATTTACCAGGAGGAGCTGGCTAAACTCATGGGAAGAAGGGTCGAGGATCTACGCGGACCCAGAGAGTTCTCTTCCAGGTGAGGCTCGAATAATCTCACGAGAGATGTCCACCCGAAAGATAAGAAAAATTGCAGGTGGTTATATATA